AGGGCTCCTGTTACACATCCGGCATTTATTATGTGTTCTCTTTCACTTAACAATAAGCTGCTAGTTTTTTCAACATTTTACAGACTAAAAAGGATACCTGATGATCTAATGGATTTGCCTTCCCAAGCCATTTGTTGTGAACTTGCTGGAATCTTCCCACCAGAAGACTTGGACAGGTTTGATGAATTTTTCAGAGGGACGCAGTGGCCCATCAGCACTCTGAAAGCAGTGTATGAGATTGTGGCTGACAAGAGATTAATTGCTTGCATTCTGGTAAGATACAGTGAATATGTCTATACACCAGTTGGTTATATAGTGTTTTTTTATATATTCAATAAAACCTTACACTCACAAGATACATATATAAATTACTTTAGCTACTCTACTACACTACAAAGATAATACCCCGGGGAGCAAGCAATATTGACTACCTCGGGGCCATGCCACAAAGAATGACTGAAATAAAATTAATTACCTATTGACTTAAACACGTTTTACAGAACTAAACACATTTAAATTTAGTTTACGTCCTAATATTGGGACTTAGTGACTAAAAATTTTGAAATAGGCTTAATTAGACCGACCGGTTTTGAGGATCCAGTTTATTTCATTCAGCTATACAGTTGGGTTGGATATATAGTGTTTGATGCCGTACATACAATCAGTGCACACGTGTGTGTAGAGCAGGATGGAATCAAAGTTTTCATGCTAGAACTGTTTCATGTCAGTTTTGTTCTGAACATAGCACCATCCGCTTCTACACTTAAGCATACTTGTAGCATTTATATGTCTAGTTGAACTGTATTTAAATCCCCACTAAAAGGAAATGTCCCGTATTGAGTGCAGTGAATCTTTATTTCATGGAGCACTTCCCCATGCACATATTTTTATATTTCTTTAACCTTATTATTTTCAATGTTATATACCGTGAGGGCTTAATGTTGTCCTAATAGGCTTAATAGATATTTGTAAAGAAACCATTTTCAGTGGTAGACTAATTTTTGCTATTTGTGAAATGAAAAAAATGAAATCAGGCCTTTACATCAATAGTATTCGAAAAGGTCCACTTCATCTCTCTGAGAACCAACGGCCTGTAATTTTGGTCCGTGCATAATGCACATTAAATACTTGTCTTTGGAGGTTTCTGTCGAGATTGGGAGACACATGCTTTGAATTTTGATTTGATGAGAAGTATTGAAAGACCAGTGAATTAATGAAAATTTCCGTTTTTGTCAAGTTTACTTATTTTGGCATCTGTGAAATTTAGGGGGAAGGGGCTAAATTGAGAGGGGGGCTTATAAAGTTTTTCCTTCTGAAAAGGGGGATCTAATAATAGAGGGGTGGTAGGAGGACTTAAATGATAATTTACGGTAAGTTGTCATTGTAAAAACTAGGATTTTTTACCATCTAGGGGTGCTTTGTCAGCAAACAAAGGATGGTCCCCCAACTGCGTCGCAAATGGGGTTGGAGCACCCCCCCCTCCTTGAGCAAAATAGCTAGTGTATCCAATGTTAATTTTGTTAGAGTATTTTGATCTCATTTTTCCAGTTTATTGCCCCTGTGGTAATCTCGAAATCTATCGTAAATCCTCTTAATAGCAACCACAATCCCCTTTGAACTGGCACTCCAAAACAAGGTGTGGTCAAATCCGGAAGAAGAACAAGGACATTGCTCAACAAATAGAGCGTATCAATGTCCTAAAAACCACCTTTTGAACAAATAGAAATAACAAATACAAATGGAACATGTTTTAGCAAAATAAAGGTCTTTACACAATAGGACACCTTAACATCATCCTCCCAAAGTTTTGAATTAAAACCATTTCTACATCTTGCACATAGATGCATCGCATATTGTTCATAGATGCATTTTGATTCTTATAATTACTTCAGCTTTCGTTTTTCTTTTTCTAGGATAATGGGCCACCAATTAAGATTATCCTCTTTGATCGTATTGGTAGTGATGAAAATGAAACTGGGGAAGTATTTGACATGCCTGTCGGCACAATTCTCAGCACAAGAAACTTAGCTACTTATGATCTGGAAAGGTGCTTTGCTTCTCAAGAGTGAAGATGGTACATCTTAACTGTGTAAATGTAAGTTCAATCTGGTTTATTTTGATTATTTTTCATCGTTTTCTTCTTTTTTTCCTTTTCTTTTTCATTGTCTTCTTCTCCTTCATTATCCTCATTGCCTTCTTTCTCTTCTTTTTCTTCTTCTTTGTTTCCTTCTTTTTAGCTGTATTCTTCTTTGTATTCTTCATTTCCTTTTTCTTTGCTTTTTTTCTCCTCTTTTGTCCTTTTCTTCTTCCTTATCATCATGCTCTTTACTGTAAAAGAATATATCGGATTGTAAGTTTTTTAGTTTTTATGAAGCAGAGGTTCATTTTCCTTTCTTATTTACTCCTTTTCGTTATCGTCATCATGCTTTTGTCTACAAGATTTCTCCCAGTGTGTAATGGGGTCAATCACACACACAGCCTTCTGGTAAATACCAATTCCATTTAAGCCTGTCTTCCATATTACTTTTGTGTGTCGGTGTTTCCATTGGTGCATTGCTGACAGGTCACTGATGAAAGAAATTTTAATGTCGGTGGATCCCTGCAAAAAGTTGAATCTAGTTCAACTTTTTTCTGTTATGTCAACTTGTTACTCGAGGCTTGTCTGTTCAAAAGATGGCGCGGCAACAGGATAACATTAGTGATGAAACTGGTGACTGAGAAAAACTATCCGGTTTTGGGTCGTAAGGATCGTAAAAAACGTTATTTTAAGATTTTATGACGCTCATGATCAAATGAAAACACTAGGAATGATAATCGTAAAATTATTAGCACTTGATATTATCTCTTAAAATGCGTGACATAAGGATCGTAAAAATAAAAAACTTTTTCATCCTTGCAATCCTTACGACTGTCTGTTTCTTTGTTTTGCGAAATTATGTGACTAAATTCCCTGATTGCCGGTCGAAGAGAGCAAGCATCGCTCCTTCTATCGTTGCCCTTATTGCGAAATGTTTGGATCTATATTGCGCGGCAAGGTCGTATATCGCAGTCAAGCTGCTTGCTTGACAAGTCTTCAAAAGACTGCCAATTTGCAAAAACACCTTGCTCAGATCTCCTTGCTCAGAATCCATAAAAACCTTTCTTTCTTCGTATTTTATTAACTCGCATTCCTGTGACGCCTTCATCTTTTGATTAGAATATACACTGCCAGAAACAAATGTAGATTCGTAGCAGCCATTTAGGGTCCTTGCAGAGAATGGGGGTGAAAATAAGCGGCCAAATTCAAATAGTAAGAAATTTCACGATTCTTGCGATACTTATGACCTAATGCCTTTTCATTCGGATTCTAAGAAACATAAGTGACACAGACTTAAAAATTATGTTTCTTATGGTCCATATGATCCTTACGACTCTAGTGAAAACCAGGCGTTAGGGAATACAAAGATGAGAAAGTTTTCCCGGTGGTGCAGGCTCATTTAATCAATCAATATGTAGAATTTGCCAGTACAAAGGATAGATTACCTGGCAGGGGCGGACTGGCTAATCTTTTTGGCCCGGGCAAATTTTGATCAAACCGGCCCACAAAAATAGCAATTAAAAAACTCCTCGCAACTAAAAAACTCGGAAAATGCTAAAGTAAATGTTAGTCTGTAAGGAAAACAAGTTTTTAAATTCAGTATTTTTGTGCATGGGTAAATGCTGGTTAATGGACCATGATTAACAGAGCATGTTAAATATGTTATTTGCCGACTAAATAGTAAATAAACAAAAATTTTAACTCATTGGTTTGACTTTCTTTCTAAATACAGTAACTTATATGTTGATAATGTGATCGCTCTAGATGTCTGCTAACAGGTGTTTTTTTAAGAATATTAACATGAAGTACTCCAGGTTTGGCTGCGAAAAATTACCGCGTAATCTGTTTTTTATATATTTAAAGTGGAAAAGCTTCTATCACACTCAACTTGTGACAAATAATTTTCTAATCCTCCGGAAAACCACAATGATTTTCAGCAGCCCAAAAATATCGATTTGTCAATTTCTGACCCCAAAAAGAAAACATGGGCACCCCTGTTGAAATTTTATTGTGTAGCACCATACCCCTGTTGGGCGGGGGGTCCATTTGACTTATGATAGTATATGCCTAATTAATTTACCATAACTTGTATGAGTTTATTGAAAGGAGCAAGAGCAAGACCCTGCTGTTTTTTGTGACGTTTGTGGCTTTTGCTTGATAAAAAAAAGCTTTGTATCGTAGCTGAATCCTTTTTTAAGTCTCGCAGCTTTTCCTCACAAAATTTCTCTGCGCCACCTTTGGTTGTTGAAGTCTTCTTGCTCTTTCCTTGTTCTACGTATGTCCTCTTCATTACTTCACATCACAGAGCAAATCGCTTAGTGAACTCTAATTTTTGGACTTTTAAATTTATTACATTTAGCAATAGCTTGTGCTTAGGGAAAAACATGACCAGCTTCAAGCAAAAGCTAAGTAAAAAGACATCAGGGCAGGTTAAAATCTTGCCAGCATAAATGTTGCGTCGCTTTGCCACCCTGTTCAGCGATGTTGAATGTTGTTCAGTCGATTTTGAAGGCAGCCAAAAATGTTCAGTGGACAGGATTAAATTTCTTTTCTTCACTGATGTTGTACAGAAATTGTTCAGTCATTTTGCCATTCTACTGAACATTGTCCAGTTCGCGCACGATTAATGGTTTGGATTTGACGTCAATTTATTTCCCATTTTTAAATCTTCAACAAACTTTCCTAGTCAACACCGCGAACGAAATGGAAAC